GCCCTTGCTTAGCAGGAGGTGGGAAAAGGCAAGATTTCTGCTCCAGGTCCTCCGAAAGTGGTGTAAGCAAAGCTCGGTGCGGGGGGGACAGCTTGTGTGAGCTTGGGCTGGAGGAGCAGCAGTGAGGGACAGTCCCTACAGCACTGAATCTACCTCCTAGGGAAATCTGAGAAATGGGTGTTGCTATGGCCTATTTCAAGGTAAAGTTTTAATCAGTTTGCCCTTGGCAAAGCCCTTGGGCTATTGTGGTGCTATTGTAAACTGTCGGCAGCTTAGCACAGTAGGGCTGGACTCACGGCTCCCGGCCCTGGGCTGGGGCCTCTTGGCCAGCTGAATCCCATCCCCTTAGAGCTGGGGCTGTGTGACTGAAACATGACGAGGCATGACTCGGTTCCTTCAATTGCTGATGGTTTTGAGACTCAAACCAGTGTGCCAGTGGGCCCCGTGGGGAGCAAGTGGAGCCACGTGATGCAAGGCAGGCACCCGCTACTGCATGTTCTTTGTGTCCTTTTGGTACTGAGCTGGTTTCAGTTTTTGTTTCTTTTTCTGATGTTTCCGAGTTGTTGACTCCAAGGAACTGGGTTTTGTGTATTTTTTTAGACACTGAGAACTTGTTAAAAGGAAAAGCAGCAGCACCGGGAGGCTCAAGGTGGAGTGTGGCTGGAGCTGAGGGTGGCCCTGGCCGATGTGGGTGGGAGGAGAGATGTGTTGGCCAAACTCTGAGACACTGAACGTGCCGGACACCGTGCCTGGCTTTGAATATCCCCTGCCACCCTTCAGTGCTGTGTGCTCTCTGCTGGGGTCCTGGGGAGGGTGGCTGCCCCCTCCCCCTTCCTCACTGCCCAGGGACATGGGGGGCCACTCGTGGCAGCAGCATAAGTTGTGCTGGAGCTGTGAGTGGGAGGTTTGCTTGGGGAGGGGAAGCCTTGGTGTGAGCTGCCCCATGCTGCTTTCCTTTCCCCCCCTGAGGTCTGCTGCCTGCAGGGTGGCGGTGGACAGGGGTTCCCCCACAGAGTCCCACCAGAGGGAAACACATCAGGAGTCAGGGAGCCCAGCCAAGGGCAGGGGCAAGCTGGAGCTGTGGGTGAGCACTGCAGGGGGGCACACAGGGGGCTCAGCCCT